GTGTGTGTATATTGTTAGACCCTAGAGGGGGGTGATTAGGGTCTTATGCTAATCTAATCCGATTTTATACCAATTAAAATTAATTAACAAGTTATCCTAGCAAGTATGAAATACAACAATATATGAGCTAGGATAAAGGCAATATGAACAATGAAATATATCCTAGCAAAGAGATATACTATGAGATATATATGTAAGGATATGAAACTAACACAAGGGTAAACAATATGAAACAAGATAGTGGATGATATAAATAATGAGACAATGGCGATATGAGCAATGAGCACAAATATAAATAAACGCCAAAGCACACTCAAACACAATCAAATGATCACGGAGTTCGGACCTTCCGTCCTACGTCTCCGCTCCCCACTCCCGGGGAGAAATCCACTAACACAATCCGGTTTGGAAGCCGGAACTTCTACACACTCGGTTTTCTAGCTAACCGAAAACTCTACAACTCACTCTTGCAAACCCACTCAACACCCTCACAAGTGTTGGACCTAGCCGTGTCTCCCTCAAGTACTCGGTTACAACCTTTCCCTATGTTCGTCAACCGATGCCACTCCTCTTGGGACGATCCCCGACTCTCACCACACACTCCTCTCGGTGTACAAGTGTATTACAAAGTGATCTATACAATTAGGCACAATAACAAGGTGTTTGTTCTCTAATACAAGGTGAGAACACAATATAGGCTCACACTCAATGTCACACAATCCCACAATCCAATTATATAATGTATGCAAATACAATAAGCTCAATGGTTGTGTGTGTAAACAAAGAGTAAATCAAATCAAACTAAACTCAAATAAATTCTAGCTTAATAAAATGATAATCAAACAATTATATATAAATGTAAAGCTAGATTGAGTTTAGAAACACTTCTCTAAAGATGACAAGAGAGAGAGGGAGAAGAGTTGAATGCCCAAACACCAAAGAATGATCTCCTCAAGCTCTTGTGAAAGTTTCTTCATAAACAAACTCTTGAAACAAACTTAAAAACCCTTAAACAAACTTGTAAAACTCTTTTTAAAACTATCTTAAACATCCATGAGAAACAATGAAAGTTGAGGGCTTTTTATAGCCTCTTAAACCAGCCACAAACCCCCAAAAACCGAAAATATCAAAAACTAGCCGTTACTAGCCGTTATAGGCTAAAAAGACCAAAATACCCCAAATTCCAGCATTCTGGAAATTTATGTATCTGACTTTGTAAAATCAATTAAAAATAGTAAATCAATTCCAAAAATCATTAAAATTTGTGTAAAGGTTGTAGACATGTATATGAACATGTTAGAGAAAGAATATCTGAAAAATAATTTCTCATTTGAGAGAAATAAATGTTTGAACACAGATATACAGTTTCTAAAAATCTGCTGACATACACGATTTTGTAAAATCAATTGGGCACAGTAAATCAACTCCAAAAATAGTAAAATTTTTAGGGAAGTTTCTAAACATATAGATAAACATTTAAAAGAAAGAATTTCTTAAATATCACTTCCTATTTGTGAAAACTCATCTGTTTTGTAAAAACATGCACGAACGAAAAACATGATTTTGTAAATTTAATTAAACGTAACAAATCAATTTCAAACTTGATGAAACTTTGCGAAATGTTTATAAACATGAAAACAAACATGTTGGAAAAAGAATTTTTCAAATTGAATTTCTATTTGTGAAAACTCATGTATTTTGCAAGTATGTCCAAAACATGAAAACCCAAAACCATGCATGTATATATCTAAATATATATATATATATATATATATATATATATATATATATATATATATATATATATATATATATATATATATATATATATATATATATATATATATATATATATATATATATATATATATATATATATATATATATATATATATATATATATATATATATATATATATATATATATATATACATATATATATATATATATATATGAAAACCAAAACTTGTATGTGTGTAAGTGATTGTGCTTAAAGTATCAACATACATAATATAAAACCTAAACAATTACCCAAGCTTGATCTTGATCTTCAATAAGCTTGATCTTGGGTACTTGCGGATGAAGCGGGAACTTGAAACTTTAACTTTGAATTGCGTAGGCTTCACTCCAGAATTCCGCCAACCTCCATTGGATATGATCGTGAATGCTTGATTCCATCCATCCTCCAACTCGTTGTTTGTCTAGAATAGATACAAAATATAAATACTAGACAAACAACATTAGTGGTAAATTGTTTGTTAAACATCATCAAAACAAAGAGGCCAACATACCCAAAAAGCAAGAATGCAAGGATGAACTTGTAAATACAGGATAACATAACGTAAAAGATAAATTCAACTATGAGATGTTTGGAACTTGCTTTTCATTCAGAAAAAATTAAAGACTATTAAGATGGCTTCACTATATGCAACGAAGCCAACAAACAAACGATCTATATATATATAATTAACATTTGTTCTCATTAACATTTATTCTCATTTAAATTACTTGTAAAGTTAGATGGGAAAATAAAAAATAAATGAGCCCAAGGAAATACAATAGCATGAGAAGTCTAGATCCAGCATTATGTTACAATCGATGTAGATGATGAAGACACCACTCTAGAATTACCTTAGAAAAAGATAAAAGTGAAGAAATGTTGATTTTGACTTAATAAAAAATGAAACAGAAAGAATAAAAGATAATATTTTCTTAATATTTTATAGAGTAGCCTAAATTTTTGAGTAAAATTAGGAATATTTGTAAGAGATATTCACGAGGTTTTATATTTTTATATACTTATTTTGTGGACGTTTTTATCATATAAAATTATACTAGAGTTAGCATTGATATTTAGTTTATGGTTTTTAATGAAGTCTATCAATGATTAGAAATAAAACCTATATTATCTTTTGTGTCATTTTAGCCACTTCTAATCAATTGTCTACACTTATTGGCTTTAATTATTCCTCTTGCTATTATAATGCTATTTTTCAAGTATTTTTTATTTTTACAACACTATACTTCCTTTGGTAAAGTTTTATTTCTTGTCAATCCAAGTAATATGAATATTCAAATTGACTTCGCTTTGGTTTCATGTCAGTTCAATTATCAACATGGAACTTAAAATTATGTGTAACCTATTCAAACAAACGTTAAAGAAGATAGGTAATAAAAATATTAAATTTTAGAGACATAAATGGGCAAAAACTATCAAATTGAAATTGAAGAACAAATTTTAGTAAGGAAAATAGGCTAAAAATAAATAATTATAATATTTAATCACGTGCAATGCACGTGCATAAAAGCCAGTTCAATAAAAACGTATTAGATCTGTTTAAGGGCATACAACACTACTCTAGCAAATTACACGATAGACTATGATTAGCGTTCAAAGGATGGTATCTAATTGTATACAACAAGTGCCGCAAAGAGTTGTATATTTCGATTTGCTTTAAAAAAAAACTTCATATGATTTCATTACTTTGACCACACTGAAGCAGAAAGGAAGTTGCTACATAAATCTTTTGTGCGGAGATTTCGTGCTTGGCACCTGAGCAGAACCATCCAAATTCCATTGGGGCTTAATTGGAATAAACAATGTTTTGAGGGGTTATGCGCAGAACCCCCTAGAGCTCAGTAGGGTTAAGTGAAATTATTAACCTCTTTAATATGTTTACAAGAAAGAAAATGGGTCAAATTAATCCAAACCCGCTTCCGCAATAATTAAATCGAGTGATAGAAAAAAAAGGGGAACAAGAAATCGCATCCTACCCCAGATTGCAACGCGTCTTGTCCTTCTTCCAAAATCCTTTTTTCCTTTTTTTTACCCCTCTCTATCAAGGGTTTTCTGTCTCTTCGAAGCTGAGGTGCCCCATGTTTTAACTCTTCAATCTGCAGATTAATTATTTCACTTGTTCCAATTTTATTTTACTTTTCTTTGTTTTTTCTCTTATTACTTAAATATATTTATGAACTAGCTATCTAAATAACGATATTTCGAAAATATCAGCATTTTTTGATGGATGAAGGCCCTAATATCGAGGCTAAAACAACTAAAATTTAGGAACATCTTGTAACTTTTGAGTTATTCTTTTATTTGCCAATTAATTGAAAATAAGGAGTTAATCATGCATGTTATGTGCTTGGTATTCGAAAATTCCCATATTTGTTTCTCACGTATCCTGTCTAAATCCATTTTCGATTATGGCGATTATTGATATGAGTTTTGTTTATCGAATTGCATTCGTATCCATGACCAGTAAATGGATTCAAATATCATAAATGTCACATCTAATCTGTAGCAGATCAATTTCTTGTTCTTCCTCCAGGCAAGTTAGATGCATGAATATATATATCGCGATTTGAACTAATTTTGTCTTTTGTCTCTTCTTGAGCTCAGTACATTCGGGTATCTTGACCATCAATATTTTAATTTGTTGCATTTATAGTATGAGGTAAAATTCTTGTTGTAAAGGATAATAATAAAAATTAATTAGAATATATACACTCTCACAAACTCCTTCGATGCTAAATCATATGCCTGATGTTATCTGTTGATTTTTGAAGTTAGGTGTTGTCTGTTTGGTGGAGGTTTAGGAATCAACTAAGCTGGAAAAGCACGGATAAGAGTATTGTGAGGGATATTTTGAAGAGGTCTTTGTTTGTTACAAGCAGTTGCTAGAGTTTAGGAGCTAGCTCAGTTTGGTTTGAATAAGTCCTAGTCTCTAGGAATCAGTCTTTGTTTGTTACAGTTAGTTGCTAAAAGTTAGGAGTCTAGCTTAGTGAGCTATTTTCTTGCATTCAGTTAAACTCTGTAAGGCTATTTAAACAGCCAGTTCTCAATTCAATAAAATATCAAGGCATTTTGCATCCAGTTTCGTGAGTTTAGTGTTTACACAAACCTTTAACTCTACAAACTAGTATCAGAGCCATCACTAGGCCTGATTATTTAAAGTAAGCTGCAGCTTAGAGAGAAAGAAAAGAGGAAAACACAGAGATGAGTGATGACAAGGTTTCCGCAAAGATCCCTCACTTCGATGGTCTTCATTATGATCATTGGAGCGAATTAATGGAGAACCTTCTTCGTGCCAAAGGCCTATGGAGTCTCGTTGAGAATGGTTTCGAGGAACCACGTGCAGGGACAATACTGACAGACACACAGCAAGAGCAGCTGGAGAATACCAGAATGAAGGATCATAAGGTGAAACACTATCTCTTCAGAGCTATTGACAGAGCCATTTTTGAGCAAGTTTTGGACAGGCGCACCTCCAAAATTGTTTGGGACTCGCTGAAGAGAAAGTTTGGAGGGATGATCTTGTGAAGAAGTCACTTCTGAATTCATTAAGAAGAGACTTCGAGGTCCTTGCGATGAAAGAAACAGAAACTATTACGGAGTACTTTGCTAAAGTAATGGCTATTGCAAACAAAATGAGGAGCAATGGAGAGGAGATGCCAGACTCAAAAGTGGTGGAGAAAGTCCTTCGAACCTTGACGGAGAGGTTTACCTATGTGGTAGTGTCCATTGAAGAATCAAAAGACACAAGTTCGATGTCCATTGATGAACTTCAAAGTTCTTTGGTTGTTCATGAGCAAAAGTTTAAAAGAACCAGCATAGAGGTTGATCAAGTGTTGAAAGTTGAAAGCAGCAGCAGAGGTAGAGGAAGAGGACTGATCAGAGGCAGAGGGCGTGGCAGAGGACGTCAAACTTTCAATAGAGCCACGATAGAGTGCTTCAAATGTCACAATTTGGGGCATTTTCAGTATGAATGTCCTAAATGGAACAAGGAAGCTAACTACGCACAACTGAATGAGTAAGAAGAATTGCTTTTGATGGCGTATGCAGAAGAACATGAAGCAAAGAGAAATGATGCGTGGTTTCTTGACTCAGGGTGTTCCAACCATATGTGTGGTGATAGAGGTATGTTCTCGAGCTTTGTTGATGGCATCAAACACTCTGTTAAATGTGGCAACAACACTACGATGATAGTGGCAGGCAAAGGCAATGTAAGGTTGATGTTCAATGGCTACCATTTTGTGGTTAGTAATGTGTATTATGTTCCTGAACTTAGGAACAACTTGTTGAGTGTGGGACAGTTGCAGGAAAAGGGGCTTGCGATTCTAATAAAAAATGGAGCATGTAACATCTATCATCCGTACAGAGGACTCATTGCACGCACTGAGATGAGTGCTAATCGTATGTTTATCTTACTCAACGAAAGATGCACTGCCACCATATCTATTACAGAAGAGTGCCTGCATACCAGCGCTGATTCCACATACTTATGGCATCAACGATATGGCCACCTGAGCTTCAAGGGATTGAAGACTTTACAATCCAAAAGGATGGTGCACGGACTACCTCAATTGGGAGCTTCCAGTATCACTTGCACTGATTGCTTCACAGGCAAGCAACATCGGAATGCAGTATCAAAGAGGAGTGAATGGCGCGCCAGCAAGGTACTAGAGCTCATACATGCTGACATCTGTGGACCTATTGAACCAACATCAAACAGTGGAAAGAGGTACGTGTTGTGTTTCATAGATGACTATAGCCGTAAAGCTTGGGTATATTTGCTAGTAGAGAAGTCGAAGCATTGGAAAGTTTCAAAACTTTTAAGAAGCTGGTAGAAAAAGAAGCGGAAGAATCCATCAAGTGTTTGCGGACAGACAGGGGGGGAGAGTTCACGTCACTTAATTTCAAAGCCTTTTGTGAAGAGCAAGGAATCAAAAGGCAGCTCACAACTGCCTACACACCTCACCAGAATGGAGTTGCCGAGAGGAAAAACAGAACTGTCATGAACATGGTGCGTTGCATGCTCATTGCCAAGAAGGTTCCTAAACCTTTCTGGACTGAGGCTGTCAACTGGACATTTTACTTGCTGAATCGAAGTCCAACCTTAGCAGTGAAGAACATTACTCCTCAGGAAGCATGGAGTGGAGTCAAGCCTTCGGTGGATCACTTTCGCATTTGGGGATGTGTTGCGCATGTCCACATACCAGAAGCAAAACGAGGTAAGTTGGATGATAAGAGCTTTCCTTGTGTTTTGTTAGGTATTAGTGAAGAGTCGAAAGGGTATAGGCTATTTGACCCTAAGACTAAAAGGATTGTAGTTAGTAAAGATGTGATATTTGAGGAGGAAAGGAGTTGGGATTGGGGTAGCAATTTCAAAGAACAGATTGAAGCAGAATTAGTATGGGCTGATGATGATTTTAGTAGTGATAGTGAAGAAGAAAATAGAGGCGAGATTGATGGTGAAGTAGATGTAGACATGGAATTTGACAGTAGGGGTGAGCATGATGGGAATAACGAAGGGAGTTCATAAGAAAATGTGGTTCAAAGGAGAGAGAGAAGGATGCCTACATGGATGGGAGATTATGTGAGCGGAGAGGAACTAAGTGAAGAAGAAGAAGCAGAGGCCTACATGGTACAAGATGTCATCGGAGATGATCCAACTCTGTTTGAAGAAGCTGTGAAGCATGAGAAATGGAGAAAGGCAATGGATAGTGAAATAAGCTCGATTGAAAGGAATCAAACTTGGGAACTCATGGACCTGCCTACTGGAGCAAAAGCAATTGGAGTGAAGTGGATCTTCAAATCGAAGTTGAATGAGCTTGGTGAAGTTGATAAATATAAGGCACGCTTGGTGGCTAAGGGGTACTCTCAACAACAAGGAATCGATTTCACTGAAGTCTTTGCCCCCGTTGCACGCATGGATACAGTAAGGATGATTGTGGCACTTGCAGCATGCAGAGGATGGGACATCTTTCAGTTGGATGTTAAATCTGCGTTCCTTCATGGAGAATTAAACGAGGACGTGTACATTGAGCAGCCAAAGGGGTATGTAAAGAAAGGGAAAGAACACAAGGTTTACAAGCTACATAAAGCCTTGTATGGCCTAAGGCAAGCTCCAAGAGCCTGATTCAGTCGCATAGAGTCCCATTTCATGAGTGTAGGCTTCCAAAAATGTCCAAATGAACAAACTTTGTTCATCAAGAGAAGCAATGGAGGTAAAATATTGATTGTTAGCATTTATGTTGACGATTTAATTTACACTGGTGATGACAGGGGTATGATGATTGAGTTTAAGAAATCCATGATGCAAGCTTTCGACATGACTGACCTAGGAAAGATGAGATTCTTTCTTGGTATTGAAGTTTTGCAAAAACCAGAAGGGATTTTTGTGTGTCAAAAGAAATATGCCACTGACGTCTTGAAGAAATTTGCAATGTCTGAGAGTAAGCCTGTGAATAGTCCAATTGTTCCAGGTTTTAAGATTAGCAGAGATGTTGATGGAGTAGTTGTGGATGATACACATTACAAACAAATTGTTGGAAGCTTAATGTATCTTACCGTTACAAGGCCGGACATCATGTTCAGTGTAAGTTTGATTAGCAGGTATATGTCAAGACCCACTGAGTTGCATTTACAAGCTGCTAAAAGAATATTGAGGTACTTGAAGGGGACTGCTAGCTATGGGATTTTTTATAAAAGAGGAGGGGATGAAGACTTGCTTGCTTTCACGGACTCTGACTACGCAGGAGATGAAGATGATTCTAAAAGTACATCTGGTTATGTGTTCTTGTTGAGTTCTGGAGCAGTGTCTTGGATGTCTAAGAAACAACCAATTGTTACTCTTTCAACTACTGAAGCAGAGTTTGTAGCTGCTGCTGCTAGTGCTTGCCAAGCTGTGTGGATAAGACGAGTTTTGAGGAACTTAAGTCATGCTCAAGAAGGTAGTACTACTATCATGTGTGACAATAGCTCTACGATTAAGCTTTCTAAAAATCCAGTAATGCATGGAAGGAGCAAGCATATCAGAGTACGTTTTCATTTCTTAAGAGATCTTGCAAAGGATGGAGAAGTTGAGTTGGTGCATTGTGGAACTCAGGAACAAGTGGCAGACTTAATGACTAAAGCTCTGAAGCTTGATGCTTTCCAGAAGTTTAGGAAGAAGATGAGAATGATTGATCTCACCGAAGTAAACTAACTGCACTCTGCTCTGCAGCTAGTTTAAGGGAGGGTATGAAGAGGTCTTTGTTTGTTACAAGCAGTTGCTAGAGTTTAGGAGCTAGCTCAGTTTGGTTTGAATAAGTCCTAGTCTCTAGGAATCAGTCTTTGTTTGTTACAGTTAGTTGCTAAAAGTTAGGAGTCTAGCTTAGTGAGCTATTTTCTTGCATTCAGTTAAACTCTGTAAGGCTATTTAAACAGCCAGTTCTCAATTCAATAAAATATCAAGGCATTTTGCATCCAGTTTCGTGAGTTTAGTGTTTACACAAACCTTTAACTCTACATGTTTGTGATACAAATTAAAAAAAGATGCTACTAATTAATACACGAAACACTAAATCTTAAAACTGACGGAGTAGTAGTAGTACTTAAGCTAAAAATACCAGAGATTGATAGACCAACTAATACAAATAGGATTGCAAGGTTCAACCAAAATAGATTCAAAACTATTTAATTAACTCGACAAATATAAATAGATTCGACTAACTGACACAAAAGATAACTAAATTATCAAAATAATGAAATCTTGATCCCTGTCAAGATAACGAGAGAGCTAGCAGCAGGAAAATGTTCTTCACTGCCTAAATTTATTGCTGAAGACCTTGATTGATAACGATGCTCCTTCATGTCCAACGCTGAACTCACTTCTGAACTGAATCCGCCTCCTTGTCTATAATTATAGGAACACTGTGAAGAACAATAGTCTCAACAGTCATGCCAGGCCCAAAACCTAGCAGCACGCCCCATTCGAACCCCTCTCCGGTCGTCGCCAGCCCCTCGGCTAAAGAACTCTTCCTCATCTCATCTAGTATATAGAGAACACATGCACTGATCATGTTCCCATAGTCCCACAGAACTCGTCGAGTTGCTCCAAACTTTTCAGGACGAAGGTTCAGCTTCTCCTCCACTCTGTCGAGTATCGCCCGACCACCAGGGTGCGGAATCCAGAACAGGGAGTTCCAGTCGGAGGGCAACCCCACCGGCGCGAATGCATCAGCAAGGCACTGCTCGATATTGTTCGCTATCATGTCTGGACTGTCCTTGGTCAGGTGGAAAGTTAAGCCTTCCTCTCTCAGATGTAGGTGGATCACCTCTTCACTGTCCGGAATAATCCTTTGCTTGACAGACACGATCTCAAATATCGGCTTCTCAATGCCTATGACAGGATCCGAACCGACAATTAACGCCGCCGCCCCATCACCAAACAATGAGTTTCCTATGCCGCTGTCAATAGCGTTCTCATTGGGACCGCGGAACCCTATTATGGTCAGCTCTGAACACACGATAAGCACACGCGCGCCCCTGTTGTTTTCAGCGAGGTCCTTGGCGTAGCGAAGCACCGTGCCTCCAGCGTAGCAGCCCTGCATGTAGACCATGTAGCGGTTGACGTTCGAGGAGCTTGGCTAGCCTGAAGTCAGCGCCTGGCATGTCGACCCCGCAGGAAGTGCACATAACTAGGTGGGTGATCAGGGACTTGTCCCTCCCCCATTCCTTAAGGGCTTCGAGTGCCGCTTCTTTCCCCAGCTTTGGTACCTCAGGCACGCAAATGTCCTGCCGGTCGTTGAGTGATGGTTCGCTGAATGAGCATATGTTTGGATACTTCTTCAAGAACTCCTCGTTGTGGTAAAAGTATCGCTTGTTTATCATTGATTTTTTGCCTGCAACATCGATCATTGTATGTATCTTACCAAGAGCGAAGAAACAACCAAGAACAAAACATGCATATTTTTAAAGATTTTATTTGAAAACCCCCCTAACAGACTCAATATTAGAAAACAATAATTTTCGCGTTGGTTAGTAGAATTAGATAGGGGGATATTTTTGCCAGTGAAAAACGCATTTAACGATGTACGGAGGATTTCCTAACGAAATCTCGATCTTAAAGAGGTGTTTTGATGACCCATAATCTAAAGGGGGCTTTTCTGATATTTTAAAAGTTATGGAAGGTTATCTGATTATCCGATAATTATCCAAACTTAAGGCCCCGTTTGGCAAAGGGTTAATGAAGAGGGATTAAGGAGAATGATTAACGTAGTTAACTCATTCGATAATTCGAAGGACTAAATTATTAACCCGTAATATAAGTTTTATTTTAACCCTTACGATCATTTTTAGTGTTTGAGAATAACAAAGATTTTGATTATTTTCTTTATAATTAAAGGGATTAGCTTAATCCTTTAAGATAGGAGTATTAGTAAACCCCTCATTTTGAGGGGTTAACTCATTTTAATCCCTCTAGAGGGGTTAACTTAACCTTTCGATATATTTTATGTTTGGCAAATTATAGAGGGTTAACTCACTTTAACTATTATATAGACTTTTTGTGTTTGGCGGGTTAAGAAGGAGTAAAAGTCTCCTTAACCTCTTACTTAAACCTTTGCCAAACAGCACCTAAAGGGGTTTTCTTGACTCTTTTAAACTGTGTGAAATTTTGACAGACATTGTCTCTGGTAAAAGAGTCATGAAGAAGAATCTAACTCTAGGGTCCATACGTAACAATGAAACTACAGGGATAGCAAGTTCTAAACAGCGATACTGCAGGACACCTACGTGCAATTAAACTCATTTTAAAAAGCACAGGGAGAGGTATCTCACAAATGTTAGCAAACTTCTTCTTCAGCTCAACTTTATGCTCATTGTTGGTGACCCGAAAGTAGAAGTCAGCGAAATCATCTTGCATGATGATATTGGGAGGTCTAGCAGTTCCGATGGCCATGATGGTTGCCATCCCGTCAGCTCTTTGTGCCTGGCGGATGTTTTCGACGTTCTCCATATTTGACGTTGCAGCCATCTACAGGTGTATTTTTATTCAAGTTAGTAGCATCGATCAATTGCGCAATATTTACGAAAATATCGTGGTCTTTTTATTTTATTTATTTATTTATTTATTTATTTATTTATTTATTTTTTTGAGGATCGAGTACTGAGATGTATCAACAACCAGTCCTTACAAATATACTTGTGTTTTCCATTTGTTTCTTTGTAATATTTGTAAGTATTCATTTATCGTTGCAGTCAATTCTAAATTGAGTCTTCGCTTATTCCAAAACAATATCATTTACACATATTCATCATCTTATTGAAAAAATTAATTATTAATGCTCTTACTCTCACAAAAAGTCTTTCAGGTGCATATTAATTAACTCTCATTTATATTGTGAATCAGAAACTATTAATGTTCTTATATAATATTGGTCAGTTTAAAGTTGGACCTACTTAAAGACTGAACAAATATTAGAGAACTGTTAAGGCAAGTTTGGAAATTTGCATTTGCACGCAAGGAAGTTGTAGTCATTCCAGATCCTGAGTATTAATGGTAAATCATCTAGCATCGTTACGACAAATTTTTGAAAACACCCATATTTAAAATTTATATAGCAAAATCGACCGTTTCTAAAAAAAAATCAGCAAAACCGATCCTTTTACAAACTGCACGGGACTAGGCAGTCCCACGCAATTCATTTTCTTTTCCAACTACACGGACCAGAAATGAAGGCATCGATCAAGCTTCGGGAGGACGAGCTCAAAACCCCGCTCCTTCGCGCCAAAGTCCCCATCTCCATCTTCAACTTCCCCTTCGCCGCCTCCATCGCCGCCGGCGACCCCTCCGACCTCTCCTCCACATCCTCAACTGGCCGCTTCGGATCCCCCGCCAACTCCCCCCTCCACATCTCCTTCCGCCTCTCCCCGAACCCTAACCCTATCTTCTCCATCCACTTCAAACCCCAGCTCGTCCACTTCACCCTCTCCAAGTCAGTAATCTCCTCCTCCTCCTTAGCGCCAGAGGCTGACCATCGCAAGGAGAACGGCGGTGGGGTCCACCAGTCGATCGCCGTGGTGTGCCTTCCGAAGAGGATCTGGATCGAAGAGCTAATACGCGGCGGAGTTGGGGTGAGGGTGAGGACTTCGGTGCCGTTGGGGCTGAGGGTGGGCCTGAAGGTGAGGTGGGCGATGAAGATAGCGCCTGCGGTGACGGTATGTGCTTTTGGATGGGGAAGGAGGAGGAGGAGCTGACGAAGGAGAGCGACGAGATTAAGGAGAGTGTTGAGGGGGTAAAGAAGAAGTTTTTGGAGGTGAATGAGATTCACGAGGGAGAAAAAAGCAAGATTAATGCTGGCAACTATAGATGCATGGGACTGCTAGTCCCGTGCAGTTCGAAAAAATCTTTCCTCAGCTAAACCGACCATTCTCATCTGGAAAAAGGGTCGGTTTTGCTAATTTTTTCAGAAGCAGCTAATTTTGCTATATAAATTTTAAAATTGGGTGTTTTAAAAAATGTGTCCAACATCGTTATTATATACTTTGGTCAGAATGAGTATGTGACATTATTAGTACTTACACAAAAAGTGATAGGCTAGTGATGAGATCCACTTTACTGGCTATTTTGGGTGGATGAGTCTCAAATTTTTTTTAATCTCTTGGTAGCTCATTTAAGAAAATTAACCGCCGACTTTTAACTAATGACTTTATATCTTAGAAGCCAGAAACAAATAATAAGCAAAATAAATAAATAAATAAATGTATTGAACATTAAGCAAGTGTTATGAACATGACTGCCTACTAATGAAATAACTCAAAAATAACTGTAATTTAAGACATAGACCTAGAGCCACACGAACCAATGAGTAGTAGCTAATTATGGAAGAAGATAGCAAGAGAGTAATATAAAACCATTGGAAAAACAGTAACAAGTACTGGAACTTGAGTAAAACGGAAGAAAACAACAAATAATAAACAGGACAATATTAAACAAAGATACGGTACGCTTACAGGTGGAGAGAGAAAAAGAATGGTGCTGGATTAAGGTTTTGGGAGGAGGGAAGTGAGGAGGCTTCTGGCTTGAAGGACGGATTTGGTTTATGGGGGGTTTTTATACTAATCTCCGTAGTGCTGATTGGCAGAAAATTTAGATTGGGGTTACGAAGAGTTAATCTAATTTAATCTGCTAAACATAAAAAAACTACTTAAGGGGTAAACCATGTTAATCTGCCTCCCAAAATGTGTGGTAGGTTCACTAATCCCGCTTCATTTCATCTTAATATACTACTCTTTACATCTTGGAACTCCCTATTGTTTGGCTATGCTTGGACTGGGGACTTTTTTAATCTCATGATTAATTAAATTCGTTGTAGTCCCGGGATATAATAGTCAAACGGACTATAATGTTTCAAATTGTTATTAACACCGTAATACCTATATCATGTGTGCGAACTTGTCATTATAAGGAGGTATAAGATTAGAATATAAGAGTAAACGTCCACAATGCCTTCTACATATTAGCAAAGTATGTCAGGAGTTTGTTTATAGTTTATAGATTTTCAGGGGATTATTTGTAATTCATACTTCGAAAGGTGATGTTTGAAATTTTCATTTTTTTTTGCAATTTACCAAACTTACAAAGGGTTTTTTTGTAATTTTCAAAATTCTTAAGATTTTTTTTGTAAGTTTTAAAATCTAGGGTGTTGTTTGTAATTTTTAAAATTCTAGGGGGTTACTTGTAATATTTAAATTTTTCAGAGGGTTGTTTGTCATTTTTTAATTTTCAAGTGTTGTTTGAAAATTGTAGTTTTTTAAGGATTTTTGCAATTCATTTTTTTAGGGGGCTATTTATATATTTTTTTAATTTTACTTATTTGTTTGTAGTGTGTGGATTTCTTAAGTAATTGCTTGTGATTTTTAGATTATGGGGGTCTTTATAATTTTATATTTCTTTAGGGAATGTTTTGTAACTTTTAGATATTTTCATTTTGGCAAAAAAAAATCCAAATATTAGGGGATTGACAAATATCTAGATTTAGGGGGGTTAACATGCAAATGTAGATGATTAATGAGCATAAGCAATCCAAGAGGGGATACACAAATGGGAAGACTAATATGCAATCAAAGTTGTTGATTTTAATAATCACATAGATAATTTAATGAGGGTGAGGTTAATTAGGGACCACTAACTTCTCCGAATATTTGGTTTTGAGTTGAGTAGCTCATTCCTGCACAAATAGTAACTTGTAAGAGGATGGGGACTAGTTCCCCCATTGTTCCTCCGACGATCAAATCAGTGATGGACTTGAGTGGGAAAGTGATGAACTGTGTGAGTTCTTAAGTGTAATGGAGTGGAGAAGAATTCTTAGAGATTGCTTGTTTACCTTATTGTTGAAAATAGTACCCCTATTTATAATGGTTGGAAAATGATAGAATGGTAATTTCAGCCGAATATTTGTACGAAGAAGGTACAATAAGGTAAGCAAAAATAAATTTGTATGAATACTAATTTATTCGTACAAAACATCCCAGAACAAAACACCCAAACACACACAAAAGAAGTCCAATGTATTTGGGAAAAATTGCTTCAAGGCCCCAAAAGAGAAGATTCAATGTGCAACAACCCCCTGTATTTTACCCCTTTGTATAAAGCCAAAATACAATGTAAATTTGTATTTTAGCCCCTCAGCTCAGCATAATGAGCTGTAAATTTCTAAAACCCAACTCTACCCTTCCCGCCCACATCGCCATAGTTTACGAGTGCTGGTAACGACGCCTGCCCACTCCGCAACTCACATCAATGGTCGCCCTCTCTCTCTCCTCTCTGCCTCTTGCACTCTATGTCTTTCCCTCTCTATAGCTAACAGGAGCCGGCGAAATACCCAAATATCTACTCTAGGGCTTGGTCGAAATCGGCAGAAGATGGGAAAAATCGAAGAAGGTAGGTAAAATTGTTCATCGTCCTCCTCCGTCGCTGCAACGTTAGGAACCTGCACCGACGAATGACGAGCGACAAGACTCACATGCGTCGACTGATGAAGATTCCCCCTCGCCTTCCAAGAATTATGAAGACCTCCCCTTTTCCATCTAAGACCAACCGTGGTACCGCTTCTCTCCCATCCTCCTCCCCCTCCAAATCTTCGTCATCCCATGCGTCATCATCAGGTAATGGCAGCACTAATGAAGCCACCCAGACCCTGTTGGCCATGCAAAAGGGTTACCGAGAAAAAATAAAATTTCAAGTTCACAACAGGCACCAAAGAAATTCATAAAGAAGTAATATGATGTTACATTTTCCATTTTAGATAGATGTTACAGACTAATGTTGGTGCATTGTGAACTATATAGAACATGCGCTAAGTTTTATTGGTGGATAACAAGTCTGACTATTATTTATTACGGTGTTTAACATAACTGTTACATTTCATTGTTGCATGTTAACTTTTGGCTATTGGATGTTAAGTTAAGTGAGGTTGATGTTAAATGTTAAATTTTAATACAGAAAAAGGCTAGTGTTGCTGCTGAAATTAGTCCTACAGCTAGTTTCAGCGTATATATTGATTTTATGAAAGTCCTCGAACCGAGAATGCGGCGGTGTCACTGGGATGCATACTGAGGGTGTACATTCCAACATTATGTAATGTTTGGCCCCCTAGCAGTAGATCGACCCACGCTGGAACTTATATTGAGTCACTATGTAGGAAATGAAGTAGCGTTTTCTCCGCCTGATGTCGAAAGTGGGAGAGAAAATATTGTTAATTTTGATATGGACTGGGTTCATGAACACACAGGTTTCCCAATCGATGGGGAAATAATTTACGGTAATAGAGATCCTTACCCTAGGATTTGGTTGGAGTATTTTGCTGACCATTATACTAGAAGTGAAAAAGAATCGGCGAAGAATATGTGTCGATATGTGGAAGGGCTACTGGAATCTCTTGTTGAATCAATAAAGAAGAAGGATATTGAGGATTTTGTGTTACTACAGATATTTTATCAATATTCAATGATATGGTGCCCTAGCAGTGTGCAAGGCATCCCAAGACTCTTGTTTAAATATGCTGATTGCATTAAAAGAGTGAGGAATGTGGCCTGGGGGAAATACATGTATGATCAGATGAAGAAAGGAATTAAGATTGCTAGGGAAGGTCTGAACAAGCCATGAGTTAGCTATGTGCATGGATGCATGCCTCTGATCCCTATAAGTTGTATCAAAATTTTTCTATTGTTGTGGTTAACCTGTACATGTGAACGTTTGTCTGTATGCTATCTACTTAAGTTAAAAGTAATTAATGTTAACTGGTTCATGTTAACTATACTAAGGTGCTGGTTAACTATATTCAGGTTCATGTTAACTATATTGATGTCAGTGTTAAAGTTTGTATTGTCAGTGTTAACTATATTTTAGTTCAGTTCTATTATCTATGTGCATGTTTAAAAGATTGGTACTATTTATTTACAGCTCTGGTACTATGAAATGATAGGGATTATAAGATATGCTCTGAGCAATAGATTCAAGCCACCCCTCACTAACTGGGAGATGATCGGTGAGAAGTCTGGATCTATCCGAAAGGACATAATAGTTGTCAAGTCTGGAAAAGCTAGCATTACTGTTGTACAGGAACCAATTGCTGAATTTGGCCCATGGGTAGAGAAATATCCACTCAGAAGGCCATTGATGAGGGAAGTTGATTCAATGAGGGTTAGAAGTATAGGGATTCAACTACGCCTACCACTCGTAGCAAAGAATCAGATACGGCCTTCACCGGGAAAATTTAGGAAGGAGAAGAAAGCAGCAGATAGGAGGATGAAGATTGGAGAAGAAAAGAAGGGTGAAAAGAATGAAGAAGAGAAGGAAAATAAGAAAAGACCGTCAATAGGTTTGGTAAGTTCTAAGATTGCATGTTAATAATTAGCACATATATGTGAATTGTCTGGATTTAAGTTGTATGTGTTAACTGTAGGCCTTTAACTGTTAACCTTTATAAGAAACATGTTAATTGTTTTTTTTCTAAATTATAGATTATATCAAAAGCCATTGATGATGCTTTCCAAAGGGAAGATGAGATTGAGGCGTTACCATTTGAGAAGCAGCTGAAATTTTGAAGAAATGTTGCTAAATTAAACCATAGAATATGTCGTGCATTGAGGGTCTCCAAGAAAATGTATTGTCAAACCTTCATGAATGAGATTCGTAGACTTAACGAAAAGGTTAAGGGGTTGGAGGGATCTGGTGACATAGTAGATCCTGAAGTTTTAAAGAATAATCTAAAGAAGCTTATTGCACAGCAGAAGAAAGGAATAAAAATCATGGATGAAGAGGACAAGCAGGAGGCCGCTAAAGAAGCTTATTGCACAGCAGAAGAAAGGAATAAAAATCATGGATGAAGAGGACAAGCAGGAGGCCGATAGAGAAAACCTTGATAATGAGTTCGAAAGGAATAAAAATCATGGATGAAGAGGACAAGCAGGAGGCCGATAGAGAAAACCTTGATAATGAGTTCGTATTTGAGAATGAAGAGGACAAGAATGAAGAGAGAGATGATAAGATCAAGAATGAAGAGGCCAAGCAGTTGGTTGAGAATAGATCTGATTTGGTAGAGGAGACAAAATTTTAGACATACAAAGATGTGCATACGACTGTGCAGGAGGAGGAAGGTGGGCCTAAGGATATGTGGGTTATAGGAGTAGAGCTCCAAGCACAAGAGAAACTAAGAAAAATAAACTGGTTGCATCACCGTTCATCGAGAAAAAGAAACCGAAATCTAAGGAAGGGGCACAAAGATGAACCAATTGTTATCAGTGACAAGGTTAACAGGATAACAGTTTACCATGATGACAGCGTTGCCAAGTGGGACTTGTTAAAAAGCACGGATTTGACTGATGTTGATCATGCTGCTTTAAAGGAGGCGAATGAGGGTATTCTTGATGTAGGAACGTTTAGTTTACGTGTGTTGGATAGTGATGGGGCTTTTGTACATAACTACAGAATACCAAGTGATGTAGCAGCTAAACTCACAGCTGAGGAGAACAAATGACTCGCGCATTACTGCAACCAGAAATGTAG